GGGTCGTCTTATGTGCAGGAAACCAGTCGCCACAATCCCATTGTGGGGAGTCTGACTGCCTACTCGGAAAGTCAGGAGGTAAAGATAGAACTAGTATATTCTTTTTAACTAAAAGGCTTATGCTGTTTCCTCAATGAGTCGGTCTTCATTAAACAGACTTAAACAGCCAAATCATTGTGGTGTGTTTACGAAACCACCATGGAAACCATTCCTCATCCTGCCTGGGACTTGTCAGTGGTGGGTCCTGTGGAAATGTAATAAATTTGCTTTAAGCACATCTTTTTAAAATAAGAAGTCACAAGCCACTTATTCTTTTTACTACGTCGTACCTCCTTCCGAATGGGCCACAAGAGGGGGGCCCTTTTACTAAAACCCAGAGCTCCTGCAGCTGGTTTCCCTCATTTTGAGATTGGAGTATTTTGTTTCTGGGAGGGTGAGTGAGCTACTGAGGTCTGCAAGAGGAATGGAGCACAGGCCTCAAACAGACCATTTCAGGCTAGGCCTGTTAGCAAAACTGTGGTTTTTAATGATCTCATTATAGGCATTTAGAGTGTTTATGTGTAATGAGATTTGGTTTAAACTGGGGGATATTTGAATTGAAGCCCGATGGAGAGCAGTTGGTCCAACAAGTGAATCTGCTGGCGTTTGTTGCCAAAGGCGTCAATCCAGCTGCAGGGGGAAGCCGGGTTTTCCTGGTGTTGGACTGATGGGCAGAGACTTTCCTGTACTGGTTCTCTGTTGGGTTTATGGTTGGATACCCTCTCATTTCACTCCTCTGCTCTCTGTGTCACCGCTTGGCTGACTTAATAGTTAGAGCTGGCTCCGCTGTGCTGTGTATGATCTGTGAGAAGTGCACAGCGTGCACCTGCACTGTGGGAGGACAGATCACTTCTCTGGTATGGAGCTGCGCAGTGCTGATACACAAGAGTTCTTGGCCATCGTGGCCCTTGCAGAGATTTCAGTAGTACCTGTGTACTTCTCTGCAGACAGATGCAGCTTTTCTTTTACTTTATAAGCCCTAAACACAATTGTGCATTTAAATGCAAATGGAGATCAACTCTCCATTTTTATCAATCTACTGTAACTTTAATATGCGCAGACACAAATATAATATATGCACCTGTTGATTTTTTTTTTAAATCCATTCATTGGCTTAGATTCATTCAGGGCCTGAAATTGGTTCTTCAGACCCATTAAAAGAAAAGGGATGGTGGTGGTGAATTGCTAGGCAGTAGTTGCAGATGCTTTTTAATTTTAGAAGCTAATGTACTTTTCAAGCTTAACTGCATTTCCTACACACCTGTTTCCCCAGACTGAAAGGGCCATCGGTCCCTGGATTGTTTCTGTGGGTCTTGGCATACATGTTATTGAATAAAAATAAAAAAGATTCCATTGTAACTTGAGTTTACATACACTATGCAAAAAAAAAATTAAAAAGAGCCTTTCATATAATTGGTACAAGAAACTGCAGCCATAACGTCTGGCAAGCAGTTCTGTTTCTTACTGTTTATATTCCGTGTGATATTCTCTGCTGTTCATTTCTATATTGTCTTGCGTTCTCTGTGCTGTTCAGGCCGATACAGGTGGGGTGAGAAAAGACAATGGACTCATACAGCTCTCGGAAGCCCATTACTAAACCAGTGTGAGTTATCATTGTTACACTTTTGAGCCTGACAACCCCACTCCCCTACAGTGAACCAGTCAACAAAAAGTTTTGATGTTAACATGACAAAAAAAAAACACACAGAATCACAGAAAATCAATGAGCAGCAAGTAAACTCTGTAAAAGGGAACTGTGGGTGAAATGAGCTGTCTCCACAGGATTAAGAACCAGAGCTTTGTAACAATCAACTGTGTTTGTGTTCCTTTGTCATGAAAAGCACTGTGTGTAGTCGAAAATGAAGTCTGAGTCATGCTCTATATAATTAGTGCACATCCCATTGTCTTAACATTGTTCTCCAAACTCAAATGCATCACTAATCTAAGTTAAAGTCACAGAGGTTGTTTAAGGACATAATCTGTACTTGTATGCCATGCTTCTGATGCTCTTGAAACCTGCTGGATGTCAGCCCTCAGTTTATCTCTCATTCACTGAGATGTTTTGGAACAGTGCTTTGAAAGAGAAATAGTCGGGGCCTATATTTATAGGTATGACTTGGTAAAATGATGTCTTAAGACATGCTTGACTCGAAAGCTTAAGCTTAGCAATTAGGCTACCCTTAATATAATTTTTTTTTTCTTGAGCGGCATGCTGCGTATTTTCATTACAATAACTGAAAACAAACGTTTAATTCTTGATGTAAAAAAAATAGCCCAGTTTGTTTTATTTTTTTTTCTGTGGTGCTGTCGTGTAAGGCTGAAAGGGCTGTTGTGTGGTTTCTGTATTTAACTAATTATATAAATTCAATAAAATAGTTAAATATAGAGATGTTTTTCTCCACGACAGAAAAGAATGGCCGTACATATCTACTGAAATGAAGGTAGAAATCGAAGGCTGTGGTTAAGGCTGCATTAACCTTTTGTTTTTGTTGTTTCTGAACAGGAATTGCTTTCATGGCGCGTATTTTCTCACATGCTGCTCTAGAGAACCCAAGAGGGAAATGCCCAGACCTTATCACAATCGCATTATGTCAAACAAGTGAACTCGAGCCAGCTCATGCGGCCAAAAACGACACCTGTTTTTCGCCTCCTCCCTGCCAAGTCAGGAGAGGTAATTGTCTGTGCGCGGTGCCCTTCTCGACCTTCCTCGGCCCAGGGAAAGGCGAAATCGCCTCAGTTTGGAAAGAATGGCTTTCCCGCTTGTGCTAAACTTATCAAATATCAGCCTCGACCCCCCCCTCGGAGCCAAACAATAGAAAGTAGGCCTTTCAGTCCAGCAGCGCTGCCAGACGTTTCTGACCCCGGTTGTCACCTCCCTTTCAATTCCATTTCCTAAACCACCCGGCTTCAACAACAGTCCCAGCAGTTAACATGCACAGGGCTCTGTCTTCAGCATCACTCCTCTGCTAATTGATATCTGGACCCTCACTATTCTGCCCTGCTTGTAGAGACATGTTGCTTTCTTCCTGAGATTAACAAGCCGAGCCCGTGATCTGGCCTTGGCACACAGCGGCTTGTGTGTCAGTCCATGTGTGTTAGAGTGCAGACCAAAGCTCGGTGCCCTTTGACCTCCCACAATGGGATTCTCAATGGCAGTAGTACATTGAAAACTAAAAGCGGGTGGGGGTGGGGGGGAGCATGTTAAGCATTTTACACAAAGGGTGGTGGTAGTATGGAACAAGTTATCGAGCCGTGTTGTTGAAGCTGATACCCTGGCTTCATTGAGAAAGCAGCTCAATGAGATTGTTGGAATGTGACTAACAAACTGGTTAAATAGGCCAAAGGCTTCCTCTTGTGTGTTCCCTTTCATATGTTCTTATGGGTATCACAAGCTGAGTTTCTTTTTTTTAAAGAAGCTATATTCACAAAATAATTTGTTGCTGTTTTTGTGTTTAAAATACTTGCACACTGAAGCGGGTTGATCTTGAAATTACACCGGTCAGCTTCTGTCTCCGTTTTCTCTTTGTTTCCTGAATGTTTCCGTGATTAAGCTGCATGAGTTTGCCGATGGCGAATCTGTGTATGTGTGCGAAGGAACGTTGTTGTTTTTTTTTCTCACCCCCACTGTTTCTTGTTTGACTGTAGCTATTAGATGTTCTTTAATCTGTCATGTTTTACCTGTGCAGTTTTCCAAATCTCAGTTTTGGAAGGCATTGGTGTGGTGACCAGAACTGTAATGAGTAAGTTCACCGTCAGTTACATTCTTAACCAAACCTGCAGAGGTGCTGGAACAAAGCAGGGTGGAGAAAACCTTACCTCCTGCATTTGTTGTGTATGTGGAAAAAGTGGGACAAGCACCTTATCCTTTGCTAAGCACAGTAGCAAAGCTTCTTCTAGTACCTCAAGTGCCTCCAAAAGAGTTTGCTGATTTTGTAAAAGATGTGGAAAAAACAATCTAGTATGTCCGTGCTGAGAATCAAGATTACCTGTTGTCTAACTTAATTCAGACATAAGTACGTTCAGAAAACACTTCTCAATGGAGTCTGACACAACTTGTATTTATATGAATCTTTTCTTTCTAATAACTGACACTCAACATATTTGCATTTTTGATTTATATATTTGGTTCGACTTTTATTGATCATATAACAGATTGCTGTTTGACAAACTTTTTCTGCTATTAACAGATTGCCAAGATGAACTTGCTTTGCATTTCTGGCACCAAGATCCAAAACATCTTGTTCCCAAAATTGCCTAAAAGACTTTCCTGCATCTCTAACTTTAGAGTTTAGCTTAACTGTTTGCTGAATAAGTGCACAGGTACCCCAGTTCCTGAAATTCTGCTTTCCAGTGTTTCTTATGGACGGTCCATCATACAGAATTGGAAACATCCACTTGTCCGTTTTTTTAGGAGTTGAGCTCAAACATGATTGCTCCATTCCATAGGCGATTCCTAGTGCAGCAGCAGTTTCTTCCGGTTGATTGATTGTATGTTGGTAGCAAGTGGAAAAATTGCAGATAAGAGATTGTGCAAAAAAAAAACAGACTCCCAGTTTGATTTATGTATGACATGGTCTAATTCACAAACGATCACAACTGATCAGGCATGGATGTAAAAAAAAATGTATGTGGAAGTGTAATTCTTTGTGGTTCGTCTTCTTCATTCATGGCCAACAGGAAGGGCCAGCTGGTGAAAAGCCCATATCTCTCCTGGTGTTATTAAAATTATTGGTTAGGCAATTTCATTGTGTAGAACCAAACTATCTGAGCAGAAGTCATAGGCGAACCTTGATTGGCAAGCTGCACACCACATCGGTTCATCGGGATGTGAGAGACAAGACTGAGAAGGTTTTTAGGAACGGAAGCCTTTGCCATTGAGAACTGCCAAGCGATACTGCTCTGCTGCCTGATCTCCAAGTGCCTTTGGTGTGCTTAAGTTGTTGTTTTTTTTTCCCTTTCAGGGTCTCAGAGGCAGAAATGGCAGAGTGGCACAGCACCACCTCCTGCCAGTGGAGAACGACCACAACTTCCGGCTCTGGATCCACATTTTGCTGCGGCGTTTGTTACAGATCTTAATGAGGCGGAGATGAATTGATGTCTTCCACACTTGAGACTAAAGAAACCCAGCATGTGTAGCAATTCAGAGAGGCTCTTTCTACAGACTTGATAAATGATGTAGAAAAATATTTTTAAATTCATTAAGTATTGAGTGGACCTTTTTGGACAAACTGGACAAACTCTTAGGCTGCGTCTGAACTTCACAGGGAGAGGCATTGGAGATTCTCCCAGTGCAGGATCTGTTTTGGAACAAAACCAAAAGGAATGTTGGAATGTTTTTTTTTTTAAATGGACCTCAGCTCATGGTCTGGGAAGCCTAGCTACCTAAAATTATGACTTGATGGGCTTTGAAATCGAATGCAAGGTAAATAGTGTACAGTGTGTATAACCTAATGGCAGCAGTTTGCCAAGCCCTGCAGGGTTTCCACTGCTCTTTACTGCTTAACTGTTAAACAATTGTTGGCAACAAAAACAACGCCTGATGCCTCACTGATCGAGTCGTTACTTACGTCTGGCATCTTGGAAGAGAGTGGGAACACAGATGAGTGGGGGAAAAACCACGAATCCAGCTGGCCCTCAGGTCGAGGCTGTCGGGAGTCTTTTCCAGCACAAGGACGTTAAGCGCAGAAGAGGACTGGAATTCCTGCTCGGGTGCGGACAGCTTGGACCATCACTGCATGGACATTGCTTGTATATAGTGTACTTTTTCCTCTTTCAGTCTCTATTTATTTTCCATTCTATTTAATTTTTTGTCTGCCTTTGTACTCTAAAGTTTTTTTTAAAATTGGAAATTAATCAGCAATTAGACACATCTGGTGTTGGTATACTTACTGCTCTCCATTAATATAGTGCCTTTAATTGGAAGCTTGTACAGGTGGAACAGCAGCCACAGAGACCACTAGATATACTCTCTACACTCTACAGCATTAATGATTCATTCTTGTCATTTCGAATAACATGATGTGTTTGCTGCAAATGGGAAAAGCCAACATTTTCCCACAATCTTCTAAAAACCAATGGCTTAGATGTTGTCAGATCTGCTTAATTCCTCAAGACTGCAGTTTCCAGGATGCCTTTCTTAGTGGAGTAGGGGATGTTTAGGGGAAGGAAGACATTCTTTAAATCCTTGTGATGGTGGTCTCTACACCATCTTTGATCTCTAAACATAAAATTCATTTCGCTGCAGTTGAGACCGATCAGCTGTTAAGAAGATACAAGTCACAGGCTATCTTTTCACAGAGCCAGTTGTCCAGATGGCTAACCATCAAGTTCCTCCTTTTACAGTACATTCTTTTCAAACCACGGGTTGTGCGGACCACTTTACACCTCGCTCTTCAACGAGCTGCAACATGATAGCTCAGGTACATCCCCCATCTCCTTAATTAACTCTTTCTTTCACATCTGATGTTTAAATATTACTTCAAAAAGTAATAAGAGGTAAATCTTTTGAAATATGTTTTTTTTACAAATTTCACAGCCTAATACTTAACCCGTTTTAACCTTAACCTAATGCTTAACCCATGTTTACACTATTCACATCCATACAGAAGAGCTAGGCAGGAGCACTGCCTAAATACTTGTAGACACTATTACACACATCTCCATTTCTGTATTCCAAGTGACCTTTCAGCTAACTGCAGATGTATTTAAATATGTATATACTGTATGTAATATATACATAGACTTAAATGTGTAGGAAGTCAAGAAAATTAGTCTAATCTAAGTCCAGTCTCTGTCCAAATCTCAGTATCTCCACAATTTTAATTTTGTTTCTTGTGTTCTTTTTCGATCTTCACAAACAAAAACAAAACGCAAGAATAAGCCATCTTCAATAAGAACATGTCATTAGCCAGTGAGACTAGGTAAATGGCTGCTTTGGATCAGTTTATTAATCTAACTATGTATTTCAATAGTTTTTAAAAATATTAATTGCAATGGAGTGGTTTAAAAGATCCACTGTGATTCATATTGGTAAATCCTAAAAGTGATCCTGTTTTCTCCTCATGAATTTCTAGATGTTAGTTACAATGGTTTTGTAATTCACCGTATTGCATGCTGTATATTTCAGGACTGTGTCATATCAGTACAGAAACAAGGTTCCAGCAGTTTTGATTACTACTGTAGTGTTACACAGAGCAGGGGTGTTTTCCCCATTTTTCTGTAGTAGTTCCTTGGTATGTCAAAATAGTGATTCACCAGCTAACTACCTCTTTAAAAGCTCCTCCCCCACACTGAATTAACCAGATGCTACAGAAGTTCCTCCTTCTGACATTTCAGTGCCGCTAGCGTACAGTGTACAGTCCAGACTAGTCTTTCCTTATCGTTTGCACGAGGTGAGATGAAGGAGATGTTTAAGTAAAGCATGCTCTCTCCTGGATGCTTCACAGATTTCTTCCAGAAAGACGGGGCTCACACCAGGCTGCTAATCTGGAGACGCTGGAGTAGGAGGTACTTTTGGCAGACCTCTATACCAGGAAAAACCGAAACTGTTCCAGTCACTGTCAGTTTGGGAAGAGGGGTTTTCTAGTTTGGTCTTTGTATCAGTATTAGAAATCTTGCAGGTTTCACTTATTATCTTTTTTTTAAAAATGTATTAGGATAAAAATAAACCTCTTTGAAATTTGCTTATCATAATATTCCTATAACGAAAGAGGCTGGCCTGTATTATGATGAATTGGAAGATGTTTGCATCTTACTACTTCTAATAAAAGATTGGCTCAGTTTTCAGATTTCACTCAGTTGTCAAAGCACTGTTAAACACATTTTGAGAGTGTGCTTTTGGTAAACCACATTCATTTTATTTTAATTAGCAGATGTGTAAAGCCATTTTCAATTGAAGCACTTGATAATTCATGTTTAAAATCTAAGTGAGGTCACAATTGCAAATCATAGTTGAAGTGGGTTACTCTAAGGGTACAGAATTGATTCCGATATTCAGCATTTCTTAAGGAATGGCAGAGTACAAGGTTAATCATCCAATAAGAACCCAAAATTGATTTCTAATTCAATTGTACTGTTGTAATATCCAGTTTGTGTAATGTTCCCGAGAGGTTGTGGAATGACTTACAGATCTTAATCCATATTTAACAGCAAAACTGGCACATCTGAGTGGATATCAAGAAACCAGGGCCCTAATATGTAGGTAATGACATTTAAGGTACTTTGAATTAGGTGTCCACAAAGCCTTCAGGCAGCATCTGCTGTAATGTTGAGTTAGTCAGCCAGGCTGTAAAGAGGACTTGTCAAGAGGATCCCCGTCAGTCTCCAGTCCCAGTCTGCTGGGTGTATGTTGTGAGCAGAGAGGTGCTGCATCAGGCAGCTGTTCCAAAAACATGCACTTCCGTTCCCTTGCTCCAGGGAGCTCGTGCTGTGAATGGAGAGCAGTGGGTGTATAAAAATACTTGATAACAATTGAAGGCAACAGCTGAAATACTGTTTTTATAGTTTTTCTGCGGGCATTCCAAAACCTAAACATGGAAAGACAAATAGTGCCTTCATTGTTACTAATTATAACCTCAGTTTCAGAAGAACTTTCTCCTGAACCCTGTCTAGCAATACAGAGACATGGACATATCCCTTTTCAAAGAATGACGAGCACAAAGTGTTTGTGGCAATTCATTATAATGTTCATTATTATGTTCATTAATAATATGAGATGTGACATTTTTCCTGACAATGAATTGTGAAGTTTCCAGATGAGAGTAAAGGGTTAAAATCAGGTCAAATGAACATGTTGAGTTTATATGGGGTTTCAGAAAGCCTGCCACAAAGGAAGGAGCTGTGATGTTTAGCCCAGCAGTTTCTGAATATAATGTGATATTTTCCAGCTTTAATGTAAAGTGCTGTATTTATACAGCTCCCAGAGGTAGATAAATGGTAATGCTAGGAATGTGTCTGCTGAAAAGGAAAAAAAAAGAGCCTTCGTCATAATGTCAGGGTTCAATCTCAGAAAAGAGTTACCTGGTGGGTGAATCTCTCAGGTGGGGGCAAGGATGGTTGGTTTGAGACTGCTGCAAAACTTTGTCAAAAAAAATGCAACACTTAAGAAACCGGTGCTTCAAGTCCCACTGGTAACCCTGCTGCTTTTTTAATAAAAATATTTGAGTAATTCAGTATCCAGAGGTTCATTTACCTCTAGT